ATATATATATATATAAATGGTTATCCAGTAGAAATGAATTTAGGGTACAAAACTACAAGGTGAAGTGAAGTGTTTTTAATTTATAATTTTGAATAGTTTTTTCAGTCCTAAATCCTTTTGCCTTTGTCTTTTAAAATGTAGGTACTATCTCTTGCCTTCTTGAAGGTTAACTCTTTAGCAAGAAGTATCCCTTGGAGCATACTTGAAAATAATTGCTGAGCAGCTATATTCAGTACTAACTGAGCAGTGATAGGTTTTCAGAATATCCCCTTAGTGGACCGAGCAAAATCAGTTCACTTCTGTAGTCTGTTAATAGACTTTCTTGACTTGATCTGACGATGGGAATAATACAATATATATTTATGTTTTAAGCTCTACAATTAGATAAGCAATTGCATTTCCTCCTGCCTTTCAAAAGGTCTATGTAAATTGATGTTTGCTTTATCTGATAAGTTGATTACATTTGCAGAAAATAAAGATGATCATTTTGCCATGGTTTTAATCAAATCTAAGCTTTCAGACTTAGTAGCCATGGTATAAAACTCAAGGAAGTTTACTCAAATTACTCCGACTTCGCTAGAAGTGGATACATTCTGTATAAGCCGAGTATGAACTACATATACTTGAACAGAATTTAGTAATTTCACAAAGCTATGTTGTCAATCATGGTGTGTAACCCACTTCATACTCCAAAAGAAATAAATGATTTCCACTTTCTAATCTTGACAGATGTTTTGTGTGTTGAAATGATTTGATCTGAATAAATTTTCACTTAATTAAATCTTCACATATGAATCCAAAATCTTTGTTTTATATTTTCTTTTTTTTTTTTTTTTTAAAGATTTGTGTAAATATGGGCCGGTAGTGGTGGAGCACATCTTTAATCCCAGCACTTGGGAGGCAGAGGCAGGCAAATATTTTTGAGTTAAAGGCCAGCCTGGTCTACCTAGTGAGTTCCAGGACCACTGGAGCTACAGAGAGACCCCATCTCAAAAAAGACCAAAAAGAAAAGATCTGTGTAAATGTGTTTGACCTCAAGAGCATGCTATGTTACATGTGCTGACGTCAGAGACCAACATTTGGGGAGTCTCTCCACTTTGTTTTTGAGGCATGGTCACTCCTGTTTCTCCACCCTCCCACCTTACCATAGGAGTTCTGGATTACAGGTGCTGGCCACAGCATCCAGTGTTTATGTGGGTTTGATGGATTGAACTCAAGTGGTCAGGGATTGAACTCAAGTGGTCAGACTGTGTTGCAAGTGTGTTTACCTGCTGAGTTGCCTTCCTGGCCCCAGCCTTAAATTTTTTTCTTTTTTTAAAACATTTATGTGTATGCATATATTGCCTACATGTAGGTAAGTGCACCCATATCATGCAATGCCTGGAGGTCAGAAGAGGCTGTCGGATCCCCTGGGACTGGAGTTACGGACAGTTGTTAGCTGCCATGTGGGTGCTGGGATTCGAACCCGGGTCTTCTGCAAGAACAACCAGTGTTCTTAACTGCTGAGCCATCTCTTCAGCCCCTCTTTTGTTTTTATTGTTTTCAATGTTTTAACTATTATTATTGGAGAGGAGGTGTGTCATATCCTGGGTGTGAAGGTCAGAGGACAATTTGTGGAGTCGGTTTTCTTCACCTTTACCTTCGTTCCAGGGATCAAATTCAGATTGTCAGGCTTGCACGTCAGGTACTTTAACCTGCTGAGCCATCTGACTAGCTAGTGTTTTGTTTTTTTAAATTCAAAACTCTGAAAAGGAGAAAGTGAAAATTTTGTATTCTTCAATATCTATTTACATTTTTTTTTTTTTTTGAGTCTTCCAGAAGCAGAGGCTAGGATCCAATTTGCTGTCTAAACAAAGGAAAGTCCCAGGTGGTGAACAAGGCTTCACATTGCAAGTCCAACACCTGTGAAGGGCTGGTAGAATTAGGCAGTGTAATTCAGAAAAAGTCTAAAGTGATGGTCTCCAAGGCAGTTACCAAGCAAAGGTGTCCTGTAAATACATCCACATAGGACAGGGAAGACCTGGCTTTAGATCATCCTCCATGCTTAGTTACTGGTTAGTTGCATGGACAACAAATACCTAAGTTATCACTGACACACAGGCCAGGACTACAGTAAGTTGAAGCGCTCAACCTTGGGCATATTTTTGGCCAAAAGAATACTTTCATGCAATATTCTGAAACCTGAATTTAAAAAAAAAAAAATGGCAAGATACCATTTTTAAGTCCAGGCCAACTACAACTGATTCTTCCTGTTATGAGGCTTCCTTGTCTCCATAAGGCACTGATGATTCACTGCCTCCTTTGAGGGTAGGGTGGGACCTCTGAGGTAGTGTAGTTTCCCACTGATTCCATGCTCTTCCAAAAATAAGTGTCCTGGTCTTATATATTTGAGGTTTGTCTTGCTCCTTTTTCAATATGGAAATTACATACTGGGGAGTACCAGTACACTCAGGTGCCTAAAGAGGCATAGAGATACCACCCACTGATCTGCTAATTGCTTACTCAAACGCAAGTATACTAGTTTTAGTGTTTTATATCTAAAGATATGTGCATATACATGTGAATGCATACAGTTATCATCTTTAAGTAACAGGTTCCTTAAGAGCTGGGGCCTTGCGCCAAATCATCAGGGCCTGGCAACAAGTACTCATTTATTCTCAAAGGAACATGTGCCTCACATGGTGACGCGCATCTAAATTCCAGCAGTTGGAAGGCAGGTGAGTACACACACACACACACACACACACACACACACACACACGGAAAGAAAACATGAGAAGAGACATTGTTTCTTTTGAGATGGTTTCCCTGTAGCTCCAGCTGACCTGGAACTTGCTGCGTAGACCAGGCTGGCCTTGAACTCAACAGAGATCTGCTTGCCTCTGCCTCCTGAGTGCTGGGATTAAAGGCATGTGCCACCACGCCCAGCTTCCTTCTTCTTAATTTGGGCCCTAAAATCAGAGCCCCCAGGTCAGAACTGGGCACTCAACCGGTTTTGGAGCTCGGGTGCAAAAACCGCTAAGCGTAGGGAACCCAAAAATCTGCTTTCAAGCCAACATGTTAGCGATTTCCGCAGGGCTGCCTTGAGCATCACCGGCCAGAGATGTTTTGTTCAGTTCAGTCCTTGGAACTCAGTAAGTCCATCCAACCAGACAAAACCGCCGGCGCCCGGCCCACGCGGCTGGGCCTGCAGTCCCGCAGGCGGCCTGCCGGGGGCGCAAGGCCGGTTGAACAGAAGGAACCGATCAGGGCGGGCCGCAGGGCCGTCTGAGTGGAGGGGGCGGGGCGAGGCGCGCGGCCCTCTGAGCGGATGGGGCGGAGCTGGCGACCGTACTTCCTGTTCCGGAGCCAGAAGGATCCGCGCGTCTCTGCAGCCGCTGTCCGTCACTCCTCCGTCGTGTTTTTCAGTATCCGCTTCTCGGGACTCTTCGCCGCTACTGCGCCGCGCCGCGGGCTCGGATCTGGCCGGGTAAGACTGCTTCGGCGCTGGCCGGGTCGAGCAGGGGATGGCGGGCGTGGCGGGCGGGAGAGGGCGCGTAGACGGCGCCTCGAGTCGCTCGGTTGCTTGGGCCGCGGGCTCCCCGGGGGGCGGGCTGGCGGCTCGGCCTTCTCAGCCCAGCGGGCCTTCCTTGCTGGGCCCAGGCGGCGGAGGAGGCTGACGTCGCGCCTAGGGGTTCCCGTGCGACCGTCAGGCCCGGCTGGGGGCGGGGCGGGAGCCGGCGACCCTCCCCCACCCTCCCGCCGGCGGGACCCGCTCGGAGGCCAGTTCGCTCCGGTTGATCCCGGACTCCCTTTGTTCACTTGGCCCTAAAGGGCTGCTTTTCTCGCGCCCTTAGCCCTAACGCACCTCGGCTGTCCTGCATCCGCTTATTTCTAATAAAAAAGAGTAGTGAGGGAGGCCTGAATCAATCCTACAAGAATGTCTGACGCTTGATAATTCGCAGTGTGACAGCGTGCTTGCTGCTAGTAGAGTAATTACAAATAAACATTAGTGGACTACCCGTGATAAAATGCGAGAAGTGCAGAGTGACCTTCCCGCGTTTTAAGAGTTTGGAGCAGATGAGATACATAGTAGCCTAAATGACTCTCCACCTTAAAAACTAAGAGTAATGTTTTTACTGTTACTAAAGTTGAAGCATCAAACTAGGCTTCACCGAAGAAGTACTACTACGAGGAAAATACACACGTGCGCCCCTGGTGATTGTAAAGGACTGTTTTGAAGGCAAACACTCATTCCAGGGGTGGCCTTCGGAAGTATTTTTACCAGGTCTTTGTTTAGTAACGCTCTTTCAGTAAGAGGAGTAGAAATTTTTCTCGTTTCTGGTGTGTAGGAGCCACTTTATGCAAAAGATGAGTTACAGAAACTTTTGAATCCAGTTTTGGGTGTTGAAATGGTCTTTTGATTCCAAAAGGAACCATAATGTCCATCTTCATTGTCTTAACTGAGATCCTTGGGGCCAGTACATTTTAGAATGCAGGAATCTTTGGATTTTATGTTTTAGAAAGACCATAGAATCAGGAGCCCTGGAATTCAATATTAAATTTGTGCAAGCTGGGACTGTCGTTAAGTGATTGAATGACTACTTGTTCAAGCCTCACAACTTCAAGAAAGGAAAAGAGCTGGGTGTGGTGGCAGCAAACCTGTATAGTTCTAGCACTTGGGAGGCAGAGGCAGGTGGATCTGAGTCCAAGGCCAGCCTGGTCTTCCATAGGCCATCTGGGACTACAGGGAGGCCCTGTTTCAAAAAGACACCCCCCCCCCAAAAAAAAAGAAAGAAAATGCTGCAGTTAGTGTTCAGTCTGTAACTGGGGATGAATGGAAACTGTAAACTGCTTCAGGTTGGATTTTGCCAATAGAATAGAAACTGACCTGTAATTGTTTCTGATTGTTTTGGTTAGAGCAGAAGAATGATTTTGACAAAATCTGCTTAGCAAGGTGGTATGAAACTGAATGGGTCACTTTCTTAGATTCTCTGCTCCAGAGTTAATGTGAACATTTGTCCTATTTGGAAAGTGTTGGTCTTATATAGATGCTACACTATGGTGCATTGTTAGTTTTTTCTAGCATTAACCCTTAAGAGGACTACTGTGTGGTGTGATGTTTTAATATAAAGCCAAGCTTGCCATTGGAATGAGTGAATAATTACATTTTCTATACATTCAGAATGATTTTTTATTTTATGAGAGTTTTGCCTGCTTATGTATAAGTGTACCACATGTGTGCAAATGTGTGGAGGCCAGAAGAGGGCATCAGATCCCCTGGAACTGCAGTTTTGGGCAGTAGTTAGCCACCATATGAATGAGTGCTGGGACCCAAACCTGGGTCCTCCAGAAAACAGTGCTACTATCTGTTGGCCATCTCTCCAGCCCCCCCTCTTATTTTTAAATTTCATTTATTGTTTTTAAATTTTGTTTATGTATGTCTGTGTATCTATGTGTGTGTGGCCACGGAGGCCAGAGGAGGGTGTTGGATCCCCTGGAGCTGGAGTTACAGGCAGTTGTGAGCTGCCTGGTGTGTGTGCTGGGAGCCGAACTCTGGTCCTCTGCAAGAGCTGTACACACTTGTTAGCCACTGGTTCGTCTCTCCAGCCCCCCTTTTAATTTTATATGTGTAGGTATTTTGCCTGCATGTATGTAATGCATGCAGTGCTACTGAAGGCCAGAAGAGAGTGTTGGCTTTTCTAGAACTAAAGTTACAAGTGGTTGTTAGCTGCCATGTATGCCAAACCCAAGTCCTGGAAGAACAGCCTGTGCTCTTAACTGCTGGGCCATCTCTCCAGCTCCCAGGAGTTTTTTGATATTCCAAATAAAAAGAAAGAACTAGCAATTATGACTTAGGCTTCATGTTCTTTCTCTTTATTGTTCCTTGTGAAAAATCATAATTACAAGCTGGACGGGGTGGCGCATGCCTGTTGTCCCAGCACTTGGGACAGATCTCTGTGAGTTCAAGACCAACCTGGTCTACATACTGAGTTCCAGGCCAGCTGTGGCTACAGGGAGACCCTGTTTCAAAAGACCAAAAAATAAAATAAAATAAAATAAAAATCATAATTAAAGATAAAATTTGGGAGATTGTAGGATGGCTCAATATGTTCATATAATTAACTCTCATCAGTAGGTCAGAGGAGGAAAAACTAAGATCAACTCATTAGATGCTGCTGAAAGATCTACCAAAGAAACTGAGGGTCTTGTCCCTTTTCTTTTTTTTTTTTTTTTTTTTTTTTTTTTTTTTTTTTTGGTTTTTTTATCTTTAGGGTTTTTTTTTTTTTTTTTTTTTTTTTTTTTGGTCTTTTTGAGACAAGGTCTCCCTGTAGCCCCAGCTGTCCTGGAACTCACTATGTAGACCAGGCTGGCCTTGAACTCATAGAGATCCGCCTGCTTCTGCCTCCCAAGTGCTGGGACTACAGGCGTGCGCCACCATGCCCAGCCTGGTTTGGTCTTTTTGAAACAGGGTCTCCCTATAGCCCCAGCTGGCCTGGAACTCACAGAGATCTGCCTGCCTCTGCCTCCTAAATGTTGTTGTCCCCTTGTTTAAGCTAACAAAACAAATAAATAAATAAATATAGTAACAGAAGCCTAAACAAAAACTTACTATTATTTTTTAAATCTCAAACTAAAAATAAGAATTATTTAAACTTTAGAAGCATTTCTAGGAGGATTGGGAGCAAGATCACTATATTGCTATCACTGTTTAACCTTTTACTGTTTGAGTCCTAGATAATGCAAAAAAGAAAAAAGATGTTGATATTGGGAAAGGGTAGTGAGACTGTTAGCTAGATACCCTAGAGAATTCAGCTGAAAAACTTTGGGGGATAAAATAATCCAATGTTGTTATGGCTTACAAAAGTAGTATTCCTCTCATATGAATAACCAGTTAGAAAAATAATGAGAGAAAAGAGCCTATTTACATCTACAATAAAAGGTGTTTGGCCGGGCTTGGTGGCTCACGCCTTTAATCCCAGCATTTGGGAGGCAGAGGCAGGTGGATCTCTGCAAGTTCAAGGCCATCCTGGTCTACATAGTGAGTTCCAGGACAGCTGGGGCTACAGGGAGACTTTGTCTCAAAAAAGACCAAATAAAAAAAAAGGTGTTCGAAATCTCTTTCAAAAAGAAATATATTAAGAGAGGGGCTGGAGAGATGGCTCAGCAGTTAAGAGCACTGGGCTGCTTTTGCAGAGAACTTGGGTTCCTAGGACCCACACAGCAGCTAACAACCATCTGTATATTTTCGTTTCAAGTATATGAGTATATTGCCTTCATGTATGTAAGTGCACCCATGTCACGCAGTGCCCACAGAGGTCCTCGGAGTCCCTTGGAACTGGAGTTATTCTTTTAAAAAGAAATGTATAGGAGAACAGAGCAGAAAAGGCAAAACAGCAAGGTCAAGCCTAGTGGTACACACCTAATCCCAGCGCTAGGGAGGCAGAGGCAGGCTCATCTCTGAGCTACCTTGTTCTTGGATGAGATCTGACATTTTAAATACATCAGATGTCTCCTAGATTCATTAGTAAACTTTAGCCCATTTCCCACCAAACCGTGGGGTGGTGGGTGGGTTGGTTGGTTTTGTAATAATCTGAAAAAGGTAAGCATGAATATTCAGGAACATCTGAATAAAACCATGGGGTAGGTGGCACTGTTTGTTTAAAATGTAAAGATACACCGATTAAATGTAACTGCCGCATTGCAGATCCAAAGGAAAGAAGTCCTTAGAAGAATTGTATCTCTATATGACCCTAAGTGACTCAGCCCCTTCCCTGCTTGGTGTTAATTTTAATTAACCTGCTAAGCTTCCTTTCCTCCAGCTGAGAATGAGCCTGTCTGTGGTAAATACTCAGTGACTACTACTCATCAGAGGCACCAACAGAATGTGTTAAAAGTAACTTATCCAGTTAATTAAGAAGCACTAGATTATTTAGCAATTACTGTTGAGAAGAATTAAAATTTTATTAACACATTAAACCATTAACATACTCTAATAAAAGGTAATTTTGTACTGGAGAGATTGCTCAGCTGTTAAGAGCACATGCTGCTCTTCCAGAGGACTGGAGTTGGGCACCTGCACTCACATACCCACACTCAGATACCCACACACATACAAAGATAATTTTGGGGCTAGAGAGCTGGCGCACCTGTTAAAGGATCAGGCTCACAAGCAAAAATAAAAGATTTTTTTTTTTTTTAATCTTTTTTGAGATGGGCTCCCTGTAGGCCCAGCTGGCCTAGAACTTGGTGTGTAGACTAGGCTGGCCTTGAACTCAGAGAGATCCACCTACTTCTGCCTCCTGAGTGCTGAGATTAAAGGCGTACACTACCATGCCCAGCAAAGGAAATTTTTTTTTTGCAAATCTTAAAATTAAGACCTTTGTGAATATATCACAAAATTGAGATCATATGTGCGAACAGATTAATAAATTGCAAAAAGTTAAAACTTCTAATACAGGGGCTGGAGAGATGGCTCAGTGATTAAGAACACTGACTGTTCTTGCAGAAGACCCGGGTTTGAATCCCAGCCCAGCACCCACATGGTTGCTAACAACTGTCCGTAACTCCAGTTCCAGGGGATCCGACAGCCTCTTCTGTCCTCCAAGAGCATTGCACAACACAGGTGCACTCACCTACATGCAGGCAATACACGCATACACATAAAATAAAAATAATAAATTTTTTTAAAAAAAACTAATACAAAAAAAAAAGTAAAACACTATTTAAGAACGTTAAAAGGACCTTGGGTCTCCTAACAAGTGATTTTCTTGCCATCTAACAAAAGGGTAAAGGCAGAGTGATATATTACTAAGTCCTAAAATGATCAAGACAAAAGGAATACCTTCTATCTTATTTGAGTTATACAAAATCAAGGAACAACAAAGCAAACTAAAAAGTGAAGGAGCAGGAGTAAGTTCTCTGGAGTGATGGGGGTGTGTCTTTGGAGTGCTCACAAATGCATATACAATTGTCAGCTTAACATGAACATTTAAGATCTTTACATTCTATTCAATGTTGATTATACGTCATGAAATTAGTGGGAGGGGCACCACATAAATTCCTTATGGTGACTCTTGGCTATAATCCTAGTACTTGGGAGAAGGTCATCATCCTCTGCCACATATCAAGTTCAAGGCTAGCCTGGGATATATGAAACCTTGTCTCAAAAAAAAGATTGGTGGGCACTTACCTCACATGCACAAGACCCGGGATTCCATCTCTGCGTTCTGCAATGCGATCAGTCAATAAAACAAAAATTGATGAAAGTGGTCTAGTGATAGCTGTGTATTCACAGAAAACAGAAATATGAATAGGTCATTAAGTTAAAAAGATATTTTATCTTCCACTTAAAGAAATGTAAGTTAAAGCAGGCTGCCACCTTGTTAATCTGTCGTGATTTAAAGCAGTAGTTTTGAGTACTGTCCAGAGATAAAAGAAGCATTGTAAAGGAGTGATGGTTTAAATTCACATAGACTTATGTACAGCTGGAATTTAGATAACTTACATGTTGACTCTCTCTTCCACTTCTGGTGCCTTTTCCTGATAACACATGAGGAAAGATTCAGAGATGTTTACCATACCAGTGTGTAAAACAATTTATAGTGCCACAAAAATGTGTGTAAACTCAATTGTGGGTCAGGCTGGGCTGGAAAGCATACTCTGACCACAGGGGAAGTTGAACAAGATCCTGTCAAGCATCTCTTGGTCATTCAACATCTTAAATCCAGGAGTTTGAGATCAGCTTGGCCAGTGAGAGTCCATTTGAAGATGATCATTTTTTCCATGATATGAGACACTAAAGGGGATGAAGTTGTTATGGTCATCTGAATTTCTATAAAAAATTTTTCCTATATAAAGGAAAATAGAAAATAAATGATAAAAGTTCTGCATAAGCAAAGTATTGATGCGTAGAAAATCCTTTTAAGAATATAGAAGAAATGATAAGTGCTGATTTTGAAATTTTCTTTCATTCTTTAGGAAAATGTCAGATGAATTTTCGGTAAGTTGAACCTTGATACTTTTTTGTCTTTCAAGAAAAACATGGTTAGAGGGATGAAAACCCAGCACTTGAGGCTGTGGCAGGAAGATTGTGAGTTCTAGGCTAACCTGGGCTATGTAGTAAGACCTTGTCTCCAAAAAAAAATTAATGATTTAATTAGTTAAAAATTAAAAACAAGCCAGGTGTGGTGGCACTCGCCTGTAGTCCCAGCACTTGGGAGGTAGAGGCAGGTGGATCTCTGTGAGTTCAAGGCCAGCCTGTTCTACATAGAGAGTTCCAGGACAGCTGGGGCTACGCTACAGGGAGACCCTGCTTCAAAAAGACCAAAAAATAAAAAATAAAAACAAAAAATTTAGAAGGTGTTTTTTTGTGGTGCTTGGATTTGTTTTTTTAAACATACGATTTTTCCCCCAGATTGATTTATTACGTGTGTACAAATGTGCAGGAGTCCATAGAAGCCAAAAGAGGAGGGTCTAATTCCCCTCAACTCAGGTTAATGCAGTTATGAACCACCCATAACTGGGAACTAACTTGGGGTATTCTGGAAGAATAACAAGGCCTTTAAGGTCTATGCCATCTCTCCAGCCCCTAGGCATATGGTCTTGATAGTCTTTATATAGATTCAACATGATGTTAAAGTATCCAGGCATGATTATAAATCCTTTTTTTTTTTGTAATAATATTATAATTCAAACATTTATTGAAAATTGGCCAGGTGTGGTGGTATGTGCCTATAATCCCAGAACTTAAAAGGTAAAAGCAGGGGGGAATAGAATTTCATTGTCAGTTATGAGATCTTGTTTCAGTTAAAGCTGAACTTTACTGTAAAACTGTTTTTGAAACTAAGAAGTAAATGCCAGACTGGGGTGATGGCGCACACCTTTAATCCCAGGATTTGGGAGGCAGGTAAATCTCTGAGTTCAAGGCCAGCCTGGTCTAAATAGCAGGAGTTCTGGGACTGCAGGGAGACTCCATCGCAAAAAGACCAAAAAAAAAAAAAAAAAAATGAAAGGCCAGGGGGAAAAATCAAAATTTTAACTCTAAACTCCGTACCGCAGTTGATTACTAAGCATGGTCTACACAGTGAATTCCAGGCAGCTGGGGCTACAGGGAGATCCTGTCTCCATCGCAAAAAGACCAAAAAAAAAAAAAAAAGATGTAAAGGCCAGGAGTCAAATCTAGATCTTGACTCTAAACTCCGTACTCCAGTTTATTCATACAGCACAGAAATGAAGCACAGTATGATTAGCTGTATTTAGCAAAGTGGAGTTTCTTGGGAGATTTTGCACTGTAAAGTTAATATTCAAGGTAACACCTCAAGTTCTGTACTAAAGAATGGCTTCTCAAATGAGTAGTGTAGTCTTTGTAGATGCCATTGAGGCTTAGAATCCCTGAGTATCATTTATGATTTATATGGGATTTTAATTATGTTTGCTTTGACTTGTCACTAGATAAGACAGATATGACACATCTACTTTGTGTTCAGTTGGCAGATGCACTACCTGAACAGTCCCCTGCCAAAACTTCAGCTGTGAGCAATACAAAACCTGGCCAACCTCCTCAAAGCTGGCCAGGTTCCAATCCTTGGAATAACCCAAGTGCTCCACCTTCTGTGCCATCTGGACTCCCACCAAGTGCAACACCTTCCACTGTGCCTTTTGGACCAGCACCAACAGGAATGTATCCCTCTGTGCCTCCTACTGGACCACCACCAGGACCCCCGGCACCCTTTCCTCCTTCTGGACCATCATGTCCCCCACCTAGTGGTCCTTATCCAGCCCCAACTGTGCCAGGCCCTGGCCCCACGGGGCCATATGCTACACCAAATATGCCCTTTCCAGAGCTTCCTAGACCATATGGTGCACCCACAGATCCAGCTGCAGCTGGTGCTTTAGGTCTATGGGGATCCATGTCTTCTGGACCTTGGGCACCAGGAATGGGAGGGCAGTATCCCACTCCTAATATGCCATATCCATCTCCAGGGCCATATTCCACTCCTCCTCCTCAAGCACCAGGGGCAGCACCGCCTGTTCCATGGGGCACTGTGCCACCAGGAGCGTGGGGACCTCCAGCACCATATCCTGCCCCTGCAGGATCATATCCCACACCAGGACTCTATCCTACTCCAAATAATCCTTACCAAGTGCCTTCAGGACCTTCTGGTGCTCCACCAATGCCTGGTGGCCCCCACGTAAGTGTTTGGTTTGTTGTTATATGTGCATTGAGGGCCATATAAAATGGGAAGGTTGTTTCTCTCTAGTTGTGGTTAGATTAGGAAGCTTTTAAAACTTAAAAAGGATGCTGGGCATGGTGGCTCATGCCTTTAATCCCAGCACCTGGGAGGCAGAGGCAGGCAGATCTCTTGAGTTCGAGGGTCAGCCTGGTTCCAGGACAATTGGGACTACAGGGAGACCCTGCCTCAAAAAAAAACAAACAAAACTTAAAAAGGGTGTGACTCTATAAACTAAGAAAATTTCACAATTTCAGGTTCAGCATTTAAAAGCAGAAATAGCTAGGTATGATGGTACACACCTTTAATCCCAACTCTCTCCCAAGGCAGATAGATCTGTTTCAAGCCATCCTGGTCTACATACCTTGTCTCTAAGCAAAAGTATTTCTACTGCTAAAAGTAAAAGGGAAAAATTCCCGAAGATCCCTGAAAACTTAGTACTATTATAAGCAATGTTTTCCACGGCATCCTTAGGTGAACTCTCTACATGCATTTTGTGGGGTGTTTTCTTGGGGGAAGGAGTTACAACTCTTGGTATTATTTTACTGCATCACCAAAGCACAGTGAGAACTTAAGGCACTGAGCATGTCACAAACATTGCTCATTTCATGCAATTCTCCCTAGTATCGCTTAGCCAAAGTTTTGTCAGAATTTTAGCAGCACTAAGCCTGAAACTACACCACTGCTGTTACCAGCTGCGTGGGCTGCTTTATGCTGTACTGCCTGCCATGCTGGAGTAGGCTTGACATTTTAGTTGAAAAGCCTATCTTAGAGTGTGTGACTGGGTAGAAAAATCACCTGACTTCTAATAAAACAAAAAGTGTTCTGGTCCTGTCAGGCAAGCCAAGTAAGCTTCCAGTCAAGATTCTCCTCAGAGAAAAATAATCTGTTAACTCTTAATCCACCAGATAACTAAGCAGATTTCCATATAGATTAATTAGCCATCCACCTCAGCTACAAAGGGGGAAAATTCTTAATAGAGTGCCCCCAAAATTTCCTTAGTGTAACTTCTTGGTATATATATTGTCCAAAAAAAATTCTATTACTTGGGATGGCTCAGCAGTTAAACAGTGACTCTTCTTGCAGAAGACACAGGCTTGAATCCCAGCATCCACATGGCAGCAAACAACTATCCGTAACTCCAGTTTCAGGGGATCCGACAGCCTCTTCGGTCTTCTGTGGGCATTGCACAACGTGGGTGCACTTACCTACATGCAGGCAATAAACGCATTCACATAAAAATAATAAAATACTTTTTTAATTCTGTTACAAAGTATGCCACAAAATGGCATGATTTACTGTTTAGATTTATTAAGCAGTATTTATTTTAAGCCACAGCAAGACATTAATACATTACATTTACAAAGTGCAGTGTGGTAGCTCATGCTTTTAGATTCAGCACCAGGGAGGCAGAGGCAGGGCGAGCTCTGAGTTCAAGGCCAGCCTGGTTTACATAATGAGTTCTAGGCCAGCTGGGGCTACAGGTCTTTTTTGTCTCAAAAAGACCAAAAAAAAAAAAAATTTACTTTGCAAATTCTAGAGGTTGACTTCTTTTTTTCCATTTCAGTCTTACCATTAAGTTAACAATGGATGAAGAGATGACGGTCTGCTTTTTGAAGTTCATGTAAATGCACATGAATGCATACATAGAAGTTGCTGGTTTCGCTATTCTTGGAGGGCATTCATGAAAGAACAACATTTGCACCTCTCAGAGAAGATACCTGCTTCCTAGTTGGATGTGTAGAACATCATGGAAACAATCAGATAAAAATGTAGAAACATCATTCGGATGTGATTTTTATTTGGTTTTGGAAAGTTAAAATGATTAAGTATATTGACTAGCTCTTTGATAAGATTTGTTGAAATCATAAATATACCCTTAAAATCTAAGATGATACGGTTTATTGTTAGAATCTGCAACTTAATTGGCAAATTGTCTCAAGCATTTTTCTCTAATCCCCCATGTGTCCCCCATGCCTACAACTGAAATCAATAATGTAAACATGGCTCAACATTTTGAGCTCTACATAAACCTGGGGCTCTTGTTAAATTTTGGGTACATATTTTAAGAACCAGTAATTGTCAGATGCCAAGTTCATCAGCCGGCCATTGTTCATTTTTATCCTTAAGCTTTTAGTGTTTTGTTTTCCACGAGTCATACAGCACTGAAATCTGCCATTTATGAAACCATTGTGTTTGTGTAGTACTGGGAGTGGAATCCAGGGCTTTGTGCATGCTGGGCACTCTGCCACTGAGCAACACTCCCAACCCTGGTAGTTTTTTTAATCGAAGCCAACATGTATGTAAGTTTAAATATTCTTAGAGAATTGTTTATCTCTTTGTATTGCTTTAGAATGATTATGAAGGAAAGAACTCCGCTTTGTTTTGAACCTTAAACTAGATAAATCCTAGAAATTGATTCCTTGCAACAAGTAACCATTCCAGAGGCAGCTCTTTGCTCAGCCCGTTCCCTTCTCCCCCAGCCCCACTCCCTCGGTTCTTTAGAAGGAGCACATCCCTTGATTCCTCCCTCATGTGGAAAATGGCACAATAGAGATTTATTGTAAAGAACATACAGCAATTACATTTGGAGAACGTTAAGTCCTACAGATATGACTATTCTCTTTGTATAAGTGTGAATCAAAACTGTATTTCAAAGTCTGGTTAAGCTGTGTCATTGTACTGCAGTTTCCTGAATCTATAAAGTGTCCATGGCTAACAGTTCTGTATTTGTTGACAGGCAGATAAATAGAATTGAGTACCATCTTTGAAGAAATTATTTTCTAGCTCAACCCTGAAAATAATAAATTGTAGATCTCTGCAACTGAATTTAAAGCAGTGTGACTGTATTGCTTAAATAAGTGTTCTTTATAGTAATTGAAAACAGTCTTAGTAGCTTTTTTGATGCCTTGCCTTTAAATCTGAATCAGAGTCTTAGATTTGGAACTGACTTGATTTTATTTATCAAATAACGTTTTGAACTTCTGAATGTGTCCATTGGGTTTCTAAAAAAATACTGTAAATTACTCAGAACAGTATAGAAAAGTAAAGTATTGAGAAGTTTATTTCTCGTAGAATGTCAAGTCCTGCCAATTTAATGCATTTTGATAGCTACCTCCTTTAAAAAAAAAATGGTTGGCCTTTGAGAGAAACAACAGTCAGTATTTGAGCTTCCATTATTTTAAGTAAATGTTAGATCTAAGTGTTCAGAAATGACAGAGATAGAAACTAATTTGTTTAGATTTTCTTAGATTGAGAAGTCCTTAGTGCTTACACAATGGCAAAAATGGTTCATCAGTGTCTTGCCCCCGATCCCCTTTGCTGCTTGGCCAGGTGGTACCTGTCTGTCAGATTCCAGGACTCTTGTCAGAGTAGCAAGTATACAGGGCAGATAACCAGAGGTATCAAAGCTTCAGTTATCAGTCAAAATCTTAGTGTCAGTTAAAAGAAGGATAAGATGACAGGAAAAGATTGTCAGGAAAGACACCCCTATAGTTATTTTGGCTGCCTTACAGAGGGATAAATAAACTCTGACTCTGAGTATAGCATCTGCTCTTAATAAAGGATATAGTTTGACTTACTGTGGAAATCTGCAATTTCAGAATCCATTGAGTAAAGGAAAAACTAAACTGCTAAAAGATTTGATAGGTCATAAACTTGAGATTACTATTTCCAAAATATGTGATAAAATATGGCCCATCCTGCATGGTGTGCTCTGGATGGTGCTTCTGTTTTAACCCTTTGTTTTCTAGGACTTTACAGCTGTCATTTTGGGAGACTTGGGGTTTGGCATTGGATTTTGGTTTTGTTTCATTGTTTTTGGGGGGATTATTTGCTTTTGAGATGGGGGTCTCCCTCGTAGCCCCAGTTGGTGTGGAAGTCGCTATGTAGACCAATCTGACTTGAATCTCAGAGATCTGCCAGCCTCGGTCTTCCCTGTGCTGGGATTAAAAGCCTTGTCCATTACTCCAGGCTTTTTTTTTCTTTTTGTCGGTTTGGATTTTGTTTTTGTTTTTTAATATTAAGACTGGAAATCAAAGAGCTAACAGAATTTGCTTTTATGTCATTTTTATTTTTACAGAGCATTTCTCCTGTTGCCCACAAGATAAGGTAAATATACATAGGCAAGTCTTGTGGGTACTTTAAGCCAAAAGGTATGTCTGAGTTCAAGTTAGAATCATGAAAAGCAAACAATTGGTAGGCAAATGAGGAAAGAATCTAGAAAGGGGTTTTTGTTTTGTATTTACCTCACAGATTAGTAATAATGCTTTCAAAACAAGCCCCGCTAGGCCAACATTGGTTTACTGCTGAGGCTATTTCTTGATGTGTTTGGTCTTAAAGGAGTACAGATTATGGAATATGCTGACATATAGGCAGACGTGAATTTTTAAATAGGATATAGTTGAGATATATGCAAAAATAATGTTTCTGAAGTTGAAATCTTAGGTTTTGAACTGTTGAACCCCAAATGACAATAAACATGAAAAATAAACCATGGATCTCAGACATTCACACAATTCTCAAAAATCCAGTGCCTCTTAAAGGAGGGCTGCAAATGATTCTGCTTGTCCTTCCTGCCTGCCACCTTTCTACGCTACTGGAGATATTGCACAGCTTTGACTCCATCTTACGCAAAGTAGATGTTAGTCATTCATTATCTAAGGTCTGCCTGCCTTTGTTCATTTTACTGTCCATAGAGAATAATAGGGTAGAGAAGAAAAGAGGTGGATTTTGGCCTGCCACATCACTACAATGAGAGGTTTTCTAAGAAAAAGGTCTGTTTACTCATGGTCTGTATTACCTCACAAACTAACACTATCTTTTGTCCTCAAATACACAGCTTTTGAAATTTGGTGTAGATTGAAAATAGCTCTACTTAATTTCTGGTAAGAGACTGCCCCATTTGCATAAGTTGCCTACACTTCTAAACAATTGGTGCCCGAGTCTTCCTTACCCTGAATGAAGTAGAACTAGCTGTATCAGAAGCCGTCATGACAAACTCTGGAAATTACATTTTAAGCACAAACCTTCAGTGGTTAAAGTTTTGAAAAGCATAAGCTCAAATTTCAAGACTGAAATCTTACTAAAGCAATATTACTGAAGATGTTTCCAGAATTCTGCCAACGGAAACAAACAATAGGTAATAGCAATCATACTAAAACAGGCAGACTTCTGGCACTAGAGCATGTCCAGACTGTTCATTGCACATAAGTCTGATGGGGTTAGAGCAAATCCCTGTGCTGGAGAGGCTCCTGATCTAGGGCTGATGTTCCAGGATTTATTAGTGTTCCCATTATTGGCTACCTAGACTATTTGAGGGTAGCAGTAGGTAGAAATTAGACCTGTCTTGGGGCATTTTAAAAAGACAAAATGTGACAAACTTTAAGTCTCTTTGAAGATTGTAGTGCCAATCAGCACAGCTGTTCAAGTGTGCGGAGTAACGGGGTGTTCTTTTCCCTCTTGTAGATAAAGGCGCTTTCTCTGCCTGTCACTGATTAACAGACACTCACTTGTTGCCATTAGTGAACTTGATGTATGTGTGCTCTATAAAGGTTTTTGTAATGTTTTTCTTTAAATTGTGATTTTTTTTTCCTTTAAAATGGCAAATTTAATGTATGTTACTGTCTATGCATTTTAAGTTAAACTGCCTAAAATGTGGTTTGAGACATACCTGTTTTTGTACTATGAGCTGTAAGCAATCGGAGATGTTAGGTTTTATCACCTGCTGCTGTGTTTGTAAACAAAGACAAATGTTGCTTTAAGAAGTAATTATAATTAGGATTAGGGCTACAGATGTAATACATGATATTTTTTAAGGTAAATTTGTTTGCTTTTGTGTGTTATACCTGAAAGCTTTTTTAAGAAATGTATTTTCATGATTTCACGGTTTCTCCGTGTATTTTATTCTCCAGTTCTGGGCTTCCCTGAATAGGTTCAGAGCCCAATTAACTTCCTCTTTGTTGTCCAACCCAAAACAAGGGCCTGAGATAGCTGTTTGCATGTGACGTGCGTTCACTAGGGAATTCACCATGCTGCCTAGAAAGAGCCTTGCTTCCTCAATGTCCTCCCAGCAAGGATAGGTTACCGAGTAACCAGGTTACCTCAATGTGAAGTCAGGGTAGCATCCCTCCCTCCATGCCCCTGTGGCCACCACCCACACTTTCTGTTACAAACAGTTGCTGTAACTGCTACACATTTGGTGAGGGCCACATTAAGCCTCGTATAGTTGACCCTTTCCACAGGCGTTTACTAGCATTAAACTCCAGTATAAGTGCACTAAGAATGAACATTTTGGAATATATTTCAGCTTTTTACCTTACAATTGAACAAAGCAGAATTTAAAAATTGTTATTCCATATTGGAGCAGGTCTAGTTGGTTGGTTTTCTCATTGAGAAATGACATCACACTCTAACAACATATGCTAAGCTTCTTGACCCTGGCAGGTCCTTTTACCATTCTTAGTATTCAGTTACCAGTCTTCAATGGCAGTCTATAGCAAGACTGAATCCTAACATTTAGCATGTTTATTTCAAATATGACAATAGAATTCTAATGCCAGAAGAGATCTATGAGCCATCCCATGGAGTTTATTTCTGTGGTATTTACATGTTTTCTTTCCTACTATTTTGTGGAGCTTGGATAAGGAAGCCCAGGAGCTGGGGAGCTGGCTCAGTGCTGTACAAGCATGGGGACCTAAGTTTGAGTCCCCAGACCTCATGTAAACCTGGATATAGTTGATATCAGGTCTGTAATCCCCCATCAAACCTATTGGGAGAGAGAATTCTTGGAAACGTGGGATGAGGGAGTGGTGAAGTGAAGGCTCAAGAGACCCTGTCTCAAAGTGGATCTTGGCACACATGCCTGCAGTGACACAGTTGCACACACAAGAATAAAGGAGGTTGACATTTTTAAGTTCTTAACTGTGGTTATATTTTTTTTATCAGGCATAGTTTTATTTAATGATTATTTAAGCTAGTGTTCCTTAAAGAAGGGTAGTTAGAGAAGGGTAGGCTCCTTTTAGAGACAAATTGAGTATAAAAGAAAATTATATCAACCCGCAAGGCCAACCTACACGAATGATGGAGTCAGCACTCCTGTTAATGGGAGGGTTTGGCCATACCCAGGTATGCACTATGTGATTTCTTGGTGACCAGTCTAGATGCTTGATATTTCTTTTAGGAGATACCCTGTCTTGTTTTGTCCTTTTCACATACCCTGATTAGGTTTAAAAGCTCTGGGGAAAGTTTTTCTAAAACCCTCAGTGCTAGCACTTTTAGATGAAGAGGCTAGAGTCAGTGGCACTTCTCATAACCAGTCCTCAACCAGCTTCATTTCCTGGGAGCTAATCTGTGCCAATGCTCATTCCAACTCAACACCTTTAGAGGAGAAAACCTACTAAAGAGTTTGCGTGCATTATCCTACTCAGCCTTACAAAATAAGACAAGTGCAGTTCTTACCCCATTTTATTGATGATGAAACTGAGGCTAAGAAGTGGTAGAAATCTCACAGCTCCTCTGTTGTGAGGCTAGAATTAAGGTCCTGCATCTGAGTCTTCAAAGACTTTGCTATGGTAGGATTCTGCTTTCTATATACAGAAGAGGTCCTGTGTGTCTATCATGGTTACCTTACTTCTTATACTACTTCCAAAACGCCCTGGAAAGTCGGATCTGTCTAGCATTCAGTGACTGTTAGGTAGCAGATCTTTCACACATTTTGCCTTTGAGTTTCATTGGCGATTTTCATCAGTGTTTGCAATGCATAGTGAATAACTGCATTCTTAAAGTGCTAATTTAGAACTTAAAAATTGTTTTCATAAAGGCAGATACTG